GGGTTAGGATAAACACAGTTAGGAAAGTAATATCATATCTTCATTGTTGTAAAGACAAATAGTCTAGGCTAACATAAGTAATCATAGTACTTGATGTAATCGATCACTGAAAAACCCCAATGTGGGGAGTGAGCTGAATAATAATGTAATGTTTCCACACACATATGCATTGTATGAAGCAAAATACAATTATTAGAACATGTATGTACATTTTATATAAAGCTAGGTTAACTAATTATTGTATTTAACCTGATTCACATATAAAGCTCATATATATATTCATGAACTTTTCATCCATTCTCTATTTAGAAGCCATTGGGATTCATCTTGTGGGGTCATGTGGTCATTTATGGCTACATTATATATACCACAAATATTGTAAACAGTTAACTTAAATTAATATACTCTACTTAAGGGGCATGCACTGCACATATCTTAAACTTTAATATCATTAATTTATGTCGAGTTAAAATTGCAAAATATAATAAATATTTGATTTAAAAAAAACCCACAAGAAAAACACACAATGTATTTATACAGTATAACTGAATAAGCTATAATCCTATAAATTACCTTGTCACCCTTGTAAGTGAAATTGTGTTGTTTTGTATCATGTCAAAACTTCTTTATTTAGCTTGCATTTTATTTAAACTGTTTCAATCTCGTGCTTTCTTTGTGCTACAAACATGATTTGTAAAATTTTTGATATCTATATCATATCCCAGTATCCAGAAACACTATCGTTACGCATTCGGAAACTCTTGGCGTAATTTTTAAATTACATGAAGTATATCGTATATAAATGGTAGGAATTCTAATTTCTAAATTATTTTAAAATTAAAAACAAAATAATACAGTATTTTAAACAAACGGCGCACTATATACATCGTGGTTTTAGGTTCTGCAAACAAACAACAAAAGATCTATTGTATGGTATGTACGATGTAATCATTGTTTTACTGTTTATTGTATTTTCAGTAATACAGGTCTGAAAAATTTAATAGATGAGAGTTGCAAATCGCTCATAACCTCACGTATATTTTTCGTTTGATAGCCACTATAATTATAACTAGGAGCTAGAGTATAACCATGCACATGTCGAAGTACAACCATTGTATACAATGCAGTGCTCGATGTTACATGCAACAGTGCACAAATTACAGAATGACTTTATTATATAAATCAACACTCGTACTAATTGACTTTCCTAGTCTCCTACTGTTGTTCTAATTAACAGCATTAGGCTTGGAGAAGCCATGTTAGATTATAGATTAATTTGTAGCCCAGCCTCCATAGTCCATATAAATTGTAGCCCAGTCTTCATTTACACCAATAATGAAATTAACTCATTCTGGTAAAGTAGAGTTCTAGCTCAATTTTGTTGCTGGTAGTGTATGTGATCTATGGGTCTTTCAGATCCCAGAATTACCTAATTATTGTAAAGTCTGCATAAAGCAGAAAAAAGGCTCTGTTTTTGTCAATGACCGGTGCCTATTGAGTGACCAAATATTGTCAGCCTAATCCACTTATTTAATTGCTAATTCATGTTGCATTACTTTTTATTGTGATCGAAGCACCTGGATTACATGATTTACCCGTAAAATAGCAGCAATTGATAAACTTGAGTACATGGACGGAATGTATCGAACAGAATGTATGTTGGCGATTTTAAGCGATTTTAGGCGATTTAAGAGAAATTCGACAATTTTAACCCGCGATTTAATGCGATTTTAAGCGATTTACCGCCCCAAAGTAGGCCTTATATTGGGCCAATTGGCAGCTTTGTGTTAACCAAATAATTCACGGATAATGCAGCAGAACCTTGTACGCCATATTATGACTTAAGAACGGCAAGTCATGGATATTACGAGTCTATGACTTTGAACACCAACATAATACCACTCACATCAATTTTTCAAAACCTTGTTTCTGACTCATTAAATATTCAAAACTGTCAAATATTCGACTCTGAATTCCATCCTCGCTGGAATTGTAGTAAATATCGTCCAACTACTCGCACGTTAATCACGATTCCAACCACCCGTCTATCCTATGACTTCCCAACGTTCTTCTTAAGCAACACTCGTTCAATGGCTAATAAACTGGATGAGATCAGTGCAACTATTACTAATAA